AAAAAAGTTTGGGCGACTGCCAATATTTCAACACATAAACAAATTTACTGATATGTTTGAGTTGTTCTTTGTTTACTAACTAATCATAATCCTAAACCGGAGTCCACGCTAGGATACAATCAGACCATGGTCTGATTGTATCCTAGCATGGACTCCGGTGCAAGCTCGCGCATTTTCGTTCCGACCGAGCTTGCTGACTGCGGGGTAGACTGGTAGTCTTCGACTCTCCCGCTATACACTGCAAACATACATGTCTAGATGCGTTGTCTGGCTAGCTTGATACAATGTATAACATCACGTTTATGTACATGTATCGCTGACCTGAGCCCACCCTGATCGGCCACGCTTGCTTATACGCGTGTATGCTATGCCCGCTGTATAACGCTAGTGTGGCATAGTAATGGATACATTATGCTAGCAGTGAGACCGGTGAGAATCAGGGTGCCTAGCTGAGCCCGCTCAGATCGCGCGCACTCGCTCTATGTGCACTGGCTCAGATGCGCTGCTGTATAAAATTTGGGCCTCCAACAATGCATTTGGGCCAGTGACAAAAAAAATGTACTCGCCCCCAAAAAAAAAATTTTGCCCCCACTTCAGGCGCTGTTTATGCATCTTGATAGGTCCATCTCACTGCACACCCACCTGCATTCCCATCTGTCTTCTGCCTTTACATGTGTCTGCCTGTTAGCCTGCCCGCCTGCCTGCCTGCCTGCTCGCCTGCCTGCCTGCCCACCTGCCTCCCTGCCTGCCCACTTGCGCGCAACCCTCCTGCCTTCTCTCCCAACTTGCCTGCCTGCTGGATTGTCAGCACAGATGATGTCCCTCAACTCTTTAATTCAGTAGTGCTAGTGCCTGCCAATCTATGCTGTCTGAAAACACGTACACCCCCCCCCCACCCGTGACATGTGCAGCGACTTGCAACGTTCCCTCCTGACCAGGGGAAAAAATACACGGGGGGCGGCAGGCGATTTTGCCCCCGAAATGCCAAAAAGAGCCCCCGAAAACGGCGATATCGGGGGCGACCCCAAAAGCAAAAGTCAGCGTATATACGTGTGTGCCTGTGCGCGTGCTTGCGTGCGTGCGTGCGTGCGTGCGTGCGTGCGTGCGTG